CAATACTGTTATTTCCAAATAGTTTTTCTCTACACAGTCTACAAATTGCTGTAATATAAAAGAAAATAGATACACAATTGATCTCATTCTGTGTATCACTATCAAAACTATTTAGGTCAAACAAAAAAATGTGTGTTTACTGTCACTTGCTGAAAAAAAAGGGTAGGTAGGTAGGGATTTTTTTTTTTTTACATTGAGTCTATGGGAGCAACATTGTGACTTTAACAGTACTTAATCAAAAATAGTCAAAAAAAACTTTAGGGTAGGGGACAAAAATTAGGGTAAGTATGGGTACAGTAAACCCACATACTTTTTTGTTGGGTCATATACATGTACATGTATGTACATAAAAACATGAATTTTAAAACATACATGTATCTCAAGTAAACATGAATAAAAGAAGGCTGTCCTCGCCCTTATCGGAATATAAGCCTTCTGGCGCATACATGTAGTTGTGACAACATAAGGGCTATGTTGCGGCTTCATTGCACCAACATGTTGTGGCAATGATGCTGCATTAGCGTATTTCATATGCAAATAAGTTGTCTGGCACTGGTGCCAGAAAATGCTGTGGCTTCATTGCCGCAACATGTTGTGGCTTCAATGCAGATGTTGTTTTTTGTTTTGTATGCAAATTAGTTTTCTGGCACTATTGCGCCACTAATGCCTTTAAATTCTGGCTTCCTTCAATTATTGACTAAAAAGGTTAAGTAACGTCTGACCAGGCAAGTTTAGTGCTAAGTATACCCGAGAAAAAGTTTTAACTCCTTTATTTAACGTTATGATTTTTTTGTGTGCTCAGGGTTATTATTATAACTTTTTCTTTTAAAGAAAGTAAAGTTCTGTCCTCAGAAGTTATTCCTATATGTAATGTACTTAATTCTCCCACATTGAGGAAAAGGAAAGTTAAAATGTGTAACTCATGAACTGTCAACATGCATCATCTATACCTTCAATAACACCAACATAATTTCCATGATCCCAACAGGAGCCCCTTCACTTCAGTCAAAGGTGTTGTGTTTTGTCTGATAAGCAATCTAAATTCGTGATTATACTACATTTTTTTCCAAACAAATAGCACTTTCAAGCCGTCTTTAGAGGGTTACAAAGACATAATTGACCAAACTTCTTTCAGCATGCTCTGTAAAATTTTAGCGAGGGTTAAATTGAGAAAGGGAAGAGAAACCATGACTTATGTTTCAGAAGGTACCAATTCGCCCCATTAGATGATAGTTCGTCCCTGTTAATTAGGATTTTTTGAAAATGCTCTCCAGGTCTATCAGGAAGAAGACAATTTCCTTGATTTAATTAAATGAGAGATTGAACTTTTATATAATGCATTTAATTAATCATGTTAATCTAAGTTTACATACAAGTCTTCACAATAACAGAACACCCAATTCTTCACTAAAATCATAAGCTCAATCAACATATGGTCCACTTCTAACACACCACCATGACCACAGTAAAAAGCTCAAACACTGGTGACATCATCAATGACATTATCAATGTTCTGGCTCTATTCTGGCATCATTTTAGTAGATTAAGAATGAGAAAATTATGTGTGTGCTTTATGGCAACATTGTGGCCCTTTTTGTCATGAAAGGAAATAGCGCTGCACTGTAGCCAGAATGATGCTAGCGGCATCATTCAGCACTTATCTGGCATCAATTTTCTGGCAACCTGATCAGCAGCCGCAACATTGCAGCATTGTTGCTGCAACATTTTTTATTTCATAAGGACCGGTATGAAATGATGTGATTATCATGTACAAAACCTTACAAATCTGGTAAAGGAAAGGAAACGTGAAACAGCATTTATAATTTTTGTCTCTCAAAAACAAGATTCAAAGAACTTCACATAATTTTATGTTTTAAAGTTTAAAAAAGGGGTATTAAAGAAGTTCATATGGCTGTCACATGCTAAAAACAATAAGCTTAAGGTTCATAGCCAAATGGTAGATAATTAGTAACCCTAAGGTTTTTTTGTATGTTTTTTTTTGGGGGGGGGGGGGGGGGGGGGGTACCTGACAGCTGCATTTGATTTCTTTTTTATAAGAGGTTTATCACTGTATCTTTTTTAAAGAAAAATGGTATTAGGTAAATAGTATCTACTTACATGTTCCAATAGGAATGAAAATGCCTGTCTTTGTAACAATTCATTGAAACATCTCGGGTGTAACATGTCGATCCACTGCTTTTGTAGTATTATGATATTTCAAAATGACATTTACTGAAGGCACACCACTATTTTTCCTTCTATATCTCTTGTTAGTTGTTTCGATGATAATATTTCTATGAATATCACCGATCCTCAGTTGTGACGTACAATGTAATGTCAGATTTAAGTAAAAAAATTTCTGACAAAAATTTATACATGTCTGTTTTTCCAATGGAAGCATTTTCAAAAATACCTGTCGTCACTGCAGTTGTCACAATTGCCTACGAAATCTTTTATGCTACACATTTTATAACAATTGTTCGAAGATTATATAAATAAATACATTAAAAAAGTTAGTTACGGTAAGCAAAATAAACTATAAAATACACTGTCTTAGTACAGACATAGTTCCATTGTTCTGACAATATTTTCAAAATATGAGCAAATCACACCAACTTAACCATATATATAAGTGTAGGCTAACATCACTGTGAAAAATTTACCCATTTCCCATTATGCTTGAATATAAAACATGAAGAAATTCGCAAAATAACATCGTTGTCTGCATTTGTTTTACATTTTCCCTCCTGTTTTTAATGTGTTTCTCTACAAGAAAACTCCGTAAAGGGAGGTAATTTGATTAGGCAAATACAGGACAACTCAACTTTTCAGGGTCAATTAATTTCAACACAGTCAAGTTTGCCCACTGATTTTTTTTCTTTTCTTGTATAACCTTAATCCATTCTCTCTATTCATATAATCAACAATATAAGAAATGGCTGCATTTTTTTACAACACCTGATCAAAATAGGCTCTAAAACCCCCCTTTTATTGCACTTTTTACCCTATTTTAGCTATATAGATTTTTTTTAAGAAAGTTTACTGTTGAACACAATTTTTATTTGTTTTTTTTAAACTGAAAAAAGTTTTAAATGTCTGAATATCTATATTATTTTCTTTTTATTAGACATAATTGATCATAATTTGTAAACACTGCATTTTCCCTCTTTCTTGCCACTTTAAGTCCTGTTACCAAGGAAACGGTAAACATATTGGGCTAAGTGTAATAATATTTTTTGTTAAGCTCATGTGGCTCTATTGAACTAATAAAGTTTAAAACAAATATTTTTGAGTGCGTGCCGAAATATTTTGGTGATTACAGAGAATTGCTCTTAAAAGCTTAAAAGGAAGTTTGTATTTACTGGAATGATTAATTACCTTCATATTACTGCTCTTGAGTTCGTTCAAAAGAAAAATTTTAATTGACTTTATTAGTACTTCTATTTAGTTTCTGCAACTTTTTTTTTTAATTATAAGAGACATTTAAAAATGCTGTACTATACTGACGTCTTAGTGCACATGAAACTACAAATGTATATAAACATTGTATTTTATGGTGAAGATTTACACTATTTTTATATAGGAATTTTATTTGTTACGTATAGACTTATATATATATCTTAAAAATTAGACGATGGTCGAGTAAAATCTGCCTCGGGCACATAATAATTTCAAAACCGTGAGTCCGACAATCGAGTCCACAGCGGTTTCTTTTTTGGATCCAACAGGACATTTGATCAAATCTTGTTAATATAAGAAATAAGATGTGGTATGATTGGCAATAAACAGTATTTTGGAAGTTGTATTTACCAACTGCACGTTACGAAAGAGAATTGATGAAATTCTTAACAAATTTAAAGGATTCCGAAAGGAAATTTGTCTTCTTTTTTTTGCATTTTTGTCGTATCCAGGTGTACGGATTGGCTATTGGTGTTGTTGGCGTAAAATGCACCGGTTCGAAGTGTGATAATTTGATAAATTTCCCTTATAGAGTAAATAGGGCTTGCTAACGGATTCTGCGGTTGGTGAAATCGCTCTTGCATGGCTTAGAATTTTAAAATGTTTTACCGACTAGAGACATTTTGTAAAAAATGTATATTGGGTATTTATTTTATCTTTAGTACGGAAACATCTTTATGTCGTCTGGTATTCTGAAAATCATGCATGCACTTGGAAATGTTTTGTTAAGTGCTCGACTATCCATCATAATTCCAGGTAGATAATGAGGGTAAAAAATATAAACTAAGGAAATTGATATAATCCAGAAAAACTTACACAAACAAAATAGGCCATGAAAATTAGTTTAAAGGTATTGTGACTGATACCTGTCTGAGATGATCAATCAATAATCAATAAATTGGACCAATGTTATTGGAAAACATCATCTATACCTTACACGAGACGCAAAGTTCAACACGTGATTAGAGGTAAAAGTGAAAGGATAGTGTACATTCCAAGATCGATGTATGGACCAATTGATAATTCTACAGTATATATGATAATGGTTGAAAAACTTAACCTTGACAAAAAGTAAAATAACAAAGATACCGAACTCCGAAAAAAATTCAAAACGGAAAGTCCCTAATCAAATGGTAAAATCAAAAGCTCAAACACATCAAACGAATTAATAACAACTGTAATATTCCTGACTTGGTACAGGCATTTTCTTATGTAGAAATTGGTGGATTGAACCTGATTTTATAGCTAGCTAAACTTCTCACTTGTATAACAGTCGCATAAAACTCCATTATATTGACAACAATGTGTGAACAAAACAAACAGACAATATAGGCAAAAATGTGACATGTGTCGGGCCAACACGTTGACGTCATGATCAATATATGACAAAAAAGAATTTACCTGAAATGGGTAGTTATTGATGAGATAATAAACTTTTTAAAAAATTGGCACAAACCTCGAAAAAGTCGATGGTCCAAGACATTGTGAAAATAGGGTCGTATTCAAAGACGTAATACTCAATTTATTTTGTGTGTGATTTTATTTATCATTTTAACTAGAACAAACAACACACGTAACCTCTCTTCCGTCTACATACGGTGGACACGGTATTGCTCCGTTGCAATTTACCCTTACAGGATACAACAGCTTCTTATCAGTCCAGTCTGAATGTGATTTATCCAGTGCCTCTGGTGTCTTGTCTAGACATATATATTCAGACGCTGCCTCGTGATCAGGATAACCTGCATATAAATATCCATCATATTCCTTAACCAAGTTGCCATAACAATCTTTTCGTGCCGGGATCATAATTGTAGAAGCTTTCTTCATCTTTTGGCAGACTGAACAAGGAACTCTATGATGATCATACATATCTTTGTCAAACAGAGAATTGGGAACATTTATATCATGCGAATGAAACAATGCCCCTCCGATGAAAGGATTAGCGTTAACCTTTGAATCGTAAATCCCCCACTGCGGATCGTTGATTAGACAAAGATAGTCGACAGCTGATCCGGATTTGGTGTAAGATGAACCGCCGACAAATCCTAAATGAAAATAGCGCAGAAATGAAGATAGATATATTTTCTATTTAAATATTTGTTATGTTTAAAATTTCGGAAATAAATTTTATATTCAGGGAAGAGTCGAAAAGTGAACATATAACACGAGTGTTCTCTTTAATACAAAGGTTATTAAAGGCAATGATTCTGCACATATGTTCGCGTGTAATCTTATATTTTCTCTATGGTTTGAATAAATAGACAAATATTGATACTTTTATGCCCAACTTAACAATTTTACACTTTTTATTTTATATTTAAGACATTTAGTTTTTACATATTCTTTATAAACAGCAGTTGATAGATATCATGTATATATCTTGTATATAATTTAATATATTTGTATCACGAGTATAAATGCATTCCAGTTTGTTAAACTATTTTATAAAATGAGATTGTACTACTATTCATTTGATCTTTACTGTACTAAATGGTTCATCTTTTTACATTTACCTGAGTATACTGTCTTGGTGTCATCTGCAGTGCAGTTGGTTCTTCCCCATTGAACGTACGTAGTACCAATGTTTTCTACAATATATAAAGCCTGGCAAAATAATCGTTCAGCAAATACTGCGTTTGGCTTTGTGGAAATTCTGTTATCATACTTAGTTGGATTTAACCTTTTTCAATACGTTACCAATATTATTGTTTGCATGTTTGTATGAATTGTTCATATAGTGGCACTCGAACCACACCAAAGAAATGTTCATATAGTTGCACGCAAACCACACCAAAGGTAAAGGCAAAATAAACAAACATTTTAATAACAGAAATGCAATCTTTATTTATATAAAACATATACTAGTAGGAATAAATAAAAGCGTTGAGAAACCAATGCAAAACAATTTGATACAAATAAATATACTAGCAGCAAGTGATATCAATTATTGACAGCTATCATCTCACTCACAAATTGTCAAAAAAAAAAGAAATGAAAGACTACTGAATTTTTCAGTTATCTGGTAGAATTATGAAAGCGAGTATCAAGTATCCAAAACATGCACTTAAAAATCTTTTCATTTTGGTACAGAATACATTTTATGATAGTTAACCTACATTTTGCAGTTCTGTGTAAGTAAATAAAAATAAATAAAAGAACCAGGACCCAAAATCTAAATCCAAATGCTGTACGCCCTGGGAGATTATACGAATTTGTTTTTCTAGTGTTACCATGTAGGCACTTAATATTGAATTATCATTATTTTACAGTAAATACTATTGTCTCTGTTATTGTGTAATTAGTTTACAAGATTGTCATTTCATTTCATTTATCATTTTATTCTATTTTTCTACTTCTTGATTCATAACATGTTTACAAAGGCCAAACTGTGATGTTTAGATGAAAAACAACAATAATGCACATTAACCTTATTTCTTTTACGCGTCGTGATTTCGTGTCATGAAATAATACATCATATTCTATATTTTTCTTTACTTTTGTTATATACACGTATACGAGTATATGATGTCATTAAGGTAGTTCGGGGGTTTGAATTTACGCGCCGTATGCGCAAGTGGTTACGCAATGATATCTTAAGTCATACTTATTGTCGTAATTAGCCATCACAATAAATTTTAATTATTATGATAATCATTTTAATTATAATACATCAAGGAAGAGCTGAATAATTCAAAACTGTAATTGCATAACTTTTTATAGTTTATTGTTGCAATATTCACCATGACCAATACAATAGAGATACATAGATATATTTACATGTTAAAAATGTGCAGTGTATATTAAATGGAAGACCTTAAAATATAGGAGAGGAGGGGGATGTTAATTGAGAGAATCCCCTTCATCGTTTTTAACTCTAATGAAATTACACAAATTTCTAAGCTTAGATTGTTTAGATGTATTCATAAGTTCCCTGAACTTAAGAATATTACAACTTTTTGTGAATTTGTTATCTCGGTATTCTATTCCTTCTGGTGTAAAAAAATTGCATTTGAGTAGATAATGGCATTCATCACCAACATCGCAATCTTCGCATAAAGAACAGGTTCGATTTTTTCTATTCTATGCGGCTATATATATATATTAAGATTTACATAATAAAGTGCAAATATGGTCAGTTTTGGTTGATGCTGTCAAATATGATCAGTTTTGGTTGATGCGGACAAATAATTTTGTTATATGAGTCCATCTGAGATATCAAAATTACTGAAATTAGTTTACGATTCAAATTTTTGAATAAGAAGAGGACATGCTGGCACTATAAACTGATGCGAGCATAATTTTGTAGTCAGTGTTTTCCAATATTGCTGTCATTTGTATTATACAATCCATCCTGATATAAAAATATAGGTGATTTACTTTGCGGCTATTAAGATTTACATAATAAAGTGCAAATATGGTCATTTTGGTTGATGCGGACAAATAATTTTGATATACCGGTCTGTCTGAGGTATGAAAACTACTGATCATTTGTTTATGATGCAATATTTTGAATAAAAAGAGGACATGCTGGCACTCTAAATTGATGTAAACAAATTTTGGTAGTCATTGTGTTCCAATATTGCTATCATTTGTATTATACAATCCATCCTTACATAAAAATATCAGATAAAAAAGAGCAAATATGGTCAGTTTTGGTTGGTGCGGTTAAATATGGTCAGTTTTGGTTGATGCTGTCAAATAGGGTCAGTTTTTGGTTGATGCGGACAAATAATTTTGTTATATGAGTCAGTCTGAGGTATGAAAACTACTGATATTTGTTTCTGATGCAATATTTTGAATAAAAAGAGGAAATGCTGGCACTCTCAATTGATGCGAAAAAAAAATTGTGGTCATTGATTTCCAATATTGTTGTTATTTGTATACTACAGTCCCTCTTGACATAAAATGATAACTGAATTACTGTGCAGCTACATAGATTTACATAAAAAAAGCAAATAAAGTCAGTTTTGGTTGATGCGGTCAAAAGATTTTATTACACGAGTCAGTCTGAGGTATGAAAACTACTGATATTTGTTTCTGATGCAATATTTTGAATAAAAAGAGGACATGCTGGCACTATAAATTTATGCAAACAAAATTTTGTGGTCATTGTTTTCTAATATTGCTGTAACTTGTATATTACAGTCCCTCTTGACCTAAAATGATAACTGAATTACTGTGCAGCTATATAGATTTGCAGAAAAAAAGAGCAAATAATGTCAGTTTAGGTTGATGCGGTCAAAAGATTTTTGTTAAACGGGTCCGTCCAAGGTATGAAAACTACTCGTAAACAGATATCATATTTGTTTACGATTTAATATTTTGAATAAAAAGAGGACATGCTGGTACTATAAATTGATGCAAACAAAATTTGAAGTCATTGTTTTCCAATATAATTGCTGTCATTTTTACAATCCATCGTTGCCTAAAAATATAACTGTATTTCTGCAGTGTGCGGCTACATGTATATAGATTTACATGATAAAGAGCAAATATGGTCAGTTTAAGTTTAACTTAAAACATTTGTTTATAATAGTGGATTGGGAAACAAGTTATTACATTTGGTTAATGAGGTCAAATAATTTTGTTATACGTACGTGTCATCCTGACTCCCGGAATGACAAATATAAAACAATTCAAATGATAAAACTAACGGCCTAATTTATGTATAAAAAATGAACGAAAAACAAATAATTTATGTAACACATCAACAAAAGAAAATCACTGAATTACAGTCTCCTGACTAGGAACAGGCACATTCATGCAGAATTTGGCGGGGTTACACATGTTGTCTTGATTAAAAATCTGAAATAAGACCGGCAAAATAGCAAAACTCTATATAAATCGCTATTTTGCCGAAGCCTTATATTTAAGACAAAGAGTTCTTAAAACTTATAAATCAATTCTAGCCGTAGAATTTACAAATCAATTCTAGCCGTAAAATTTATAAATTAATTCTAGCCGTAGAATTTATAAATCAATTCTAGTCGTAGAATTTATAAATCAATTCTAACCGTAGAACTGTTCTAGTCGTAGAACTGTTCTAGAAGTAGAACTGACCAAAGATTTTGGTACTAATATTTCAATGAATGTACTATAAACATAGAAAAAATAGCCAATTTGAGCATGTTACAACTTAGAAATTATGTGGTAAACCAGTCAATAAGGGTCATTATACAGAATTCATGAAAACGTTGAAAATATATTTATAAACATACATCATGGGAAGTGAACGTTTGTGCTATTTCTACATTTAAATGCATATGCCATCTGACATACACGCACAATGGTCGATTATGGATCTGCATGATGTAGGATCCTAAGGTAACTAATTTAGCAAAAACAAACAGTATGGAACACAACATACATGTATTATTCTATATTGATAGATTAATGTTTAAAGAATATTAAACAATAGAAAAACTCCCGTTTAATCTATTTAGAAGATAAGTTTTGCTTCATGTAATTTAATCAATGAATAAACCTCAAAGAGAACAATAGCTATTGTATTTATTCAATGGGACAATTGAACTGACAAAAGTTTAAATACCTTGACCAAGAGAGATGACTCAGTAGAAGAGTTTCATTTGGTTCGCAATAATATGACATGTCGACTGCAATATCTGACAATTGGACTTAAATATCTCGATGAGTTGACCTAAATATTTGCCATGTTCTCTTAAATGTAAGATGTGTTTAAAAGTTTTGGTTTTTTACATGTACCTGTTTCAATAAAGTTTCCACCAGAGACCAATAATGTTATAAACTGCAATTCACCCTTAGGTCTTCAACAATTACCAATGTCCATAGTGTAAAGTCAGCTCAAAATATATAGAGAGTTGTACTATTTCCTTTCGTGATTATGTAATGAAAGTTGACTTGTAAATACACTTTTTACTAGTGCGTTGGGCGCAATACGTTCTATTTACTAAGATATGATTAGTTTTGACAATATTAAATGACTGACCTTAGACTAAGCGACAAAATGTGCATTCCCCACATCGGGCCAATTCCAATCTCAAAAAGTGTTTGATGATTATACATATCACATCAAACATTACATATTATGTATATCAATGATTTGACAATAAATAACAAACCTTGAATTTCAGAATTGGCCTCAACACACTTCTCTTGTATAATTCCTCCTAATTTTGCAGTAGCCTCGTCCACTTTCTTGTTGACACTGCTAGCAGCCAATTCTTCCATGGCAATCTTTACACCGTTTGCTATCTCTCGTTCAATGTAAACTTTGATCTCTGCGTTTATGGCGTTAGCATCTAATTCGGCTACTAATGGTACATAAAGGGTGTTACGTATCGGAACTGGATTCGTTGAAACATTTACGGTTACTTTCTGCATTGATCCTTCATTCCCATGACAGTGGGGTGTACAAGAAAGTTATAAAATTAGAAAGAAAACGTACATTTTTGTACCAATTAACTACTCGAATGCACACCTTTCAGATCAGTGGTAAAATACCGAATGACATATAAGAAAAACTTGAAAAATATTAACACTGCTGATTAAAAAAACTACACATCTTAAATTGATGTCACTTCAACGGATCTGGCATACAGGAAAACATTTACAACTGTAAATATTGTTATGACATTTTAATAAGAGCAGAAAAAACTTGAAAAATAAAAATCGGATAAAAGTACATGAATTCCCTCCCCTATGGTGTAATAACCACACTCGTGGAACGGTTCGGTTCAACGAATAACAAAACGAAATCAAACATCAAATCATGTTCAAAGGAACTTTTTGTTCCATTTTTCTTCTCGTTGTTACAGTTTTATCGTTTTATAACTTTTGAATTGTTTTATGATTATAACGCTTTATTTTCATGGTTAGATTAGTTATATTGATTTCATGTTGATTCAGAAATGCACATTGTGGAACGATATTTTCCATGATTTAACAAAACCACACCAAATAAAAAAATCTGAGAAACCAAAACAATAAAATAAAAAAAAACTAGTCATTATACATATTGGATATAAATGAAAGAAGGCTATTGTCATTGAGACAGCAACATAATGTGTACAAGATTTATCAATAAAGCGCTTTAAGACTTAAGATTACCGGTACTCGTAAATGCATATCAGCAATCGTAGTCGAATGGTATCATGCACAGTCCGAAAACGATTGTGATTACTGAAAAAATGATCTCAAGTTCCAACCCCGAAAGTGCTGTACGTTTTTGAGAGGTAAAACGTTGTTGAGTTAAAAGTTTAAATATCAGTTAATTTCGATTTACAATGGATTCTTGCAAAATTATCTACTGTTAGAATAATGACTGACATCATAGAAATGGGTTAACTTTATATTTATATGTTTATACATATACATAGTTTTTTCCATATTCTCAATTTTGTAAACCCGACCCAGACTCCTAAATTGTTAGCAACGTGAAAATAATAGGCAGAAGTAGGAAAGGTACTAATAATACAGTGCTATTACTTACCCGGATTTCCTGATACTTCATGAGTACAAACCAACATAATTAATATTGCGATATTAGCTACTAATTTCATGATAATCACTGGATATCGAAAGAAAATACTCTGAAATGGATCCTAGCCACAGGTATGTACTGAATTCTGCAGAACTGATGATGATTTTATACTTATTTTTTGGATTTTTTTTTATGTTATTATAGTTAAACGTTTCCTTTGTTGACTGAAAAAAAAGAAAACAAACATATGAACATGTTTTTCTAGTTTGAAACCAAGTATTTAAAATAATATCAATTAGCAACTTGACGACGGATGCAACATGTGGAAGATGATCTTCTTACCCTTCCGGAGCACCTGATATCACCCCGAGTTTTGGTGGGTTTCGTATTGCTCAGTGTTTAGTTTTTTGTGTTATTTTGTGAACTGTTGTTTGTCTGTTTGTAATTTTCTTTTTTTTAGACATGGCGTTGTCAGTTTATTTTTGACTTTTGAGTTTGAATGTTCCTTTGGTATCCTTCGGCTTTCTTTTTGTATCTGTCTAGACATTTAAATCATTTGAGATACACATTTTTTTAATTGAAACAAGTCAAATTTGTTTTCAGCAACGCAAGGATTAGTATCAAAATCAGCTAATACGTTTTCTTATTTCTTTTAATCATTGCCATATTATTCATCATAATGTATATTAGAGTGTGAATGGGGTCCTTCGTTTCTATATGTTTTAGAAACATTTAAGGCAATCTTTCTCTATTCGTTATTTATTCTGACCATTTTTTTTCTATTCTTTATACTTAAGCATACTACTATTCTCTATTATTTATATTTCAGCTCCCCATAAATCTTTATTCTCTATATTTCAGCACCCAATTATTCTTTATTCTTTATTTTTTTGCCCCTTTTATTCTGTACATTTTGCCCATTTTCCCTATTTGTATTTTGTAAACCCCGTCAATGCCCTCGTATATAAGTATTTACCTCAAAGTATAAAATAAAAGTCATACCTCCGTTACAGTACTAGTGTAGTAGACAGAACCAGCCAGGTGAAATTCTTATAAAATTCATTTCACCCAGTTTGTTAACTTGTGCGCTAGATGATGCAAACCGACGAGTTTTTGTTATGTCGGATTGATAGTCGACGAGTGAACGGATGTGACTATCAAATAACCGGAACGTAAAAACGACTACTAATGTCTGGATGCGCACAATTTGATTGTTCAAGTCCAATTTAAACCAATTGTTATATCCTCTGGCAGATGACAAAGTAAATTATTGCTAATACTTGGCAGTTGTCAGCCGTGTATTTATACAAATATAAGACATCACAATAGACCAAGTGATCAACCAACCCTCAACTCCACCAAAACAACAGACGCACAAATAAAGACTAAGAACGAGAAATATATTGTCCAAATAGCCGGACTTGGAATAGGTAGAATTGAACCAGTTTTACGTGCTCACAAACCCTTCCTTTGGCTACTAGTATCTAGACCATATGTCGTAAAACAAAACACCATACTAAACACCTACATGCTGCAGACACCACCAGGACGATCACTAAATTGAACAAGGGATCAAAATACGGCACATATTTGGAAAGGAGGGTTCAAATGTGTTCACTGCTTTAAGAGGCTAGTCAAATTGTTGGTTGAATTCTGTCTATCAAGAAGAAGAACATTTCCTACAAGATTCGTGAAATCTTATATAATTTATATAAAATGATGCAGCTTTTTTTCTTATGGTCTATTATAAGAATCTGCATCTACTATTAGCATAATAGATTTGACGTAGTTGTTTGAGATGCGAGGGACCAGAGCGGGGCAAAAAAATTTCTCGTCCAACTTCAACAGTTTTGTTTACAGTGAATTCTTCATTAAATGTCCTGCATGCACATTAAATCAGATTTTTCAGTTTCATAACTTAAATGGATGGAAGGTGCAATAATGGATTTTGCATACATACTAGTGTGACTATTTCTGAGCTATTAGAGCCAAAGTGGTTTTCTTACTACTATGTTTATCTAACAACTTCATGTCTCTTGTGGTTTATCGTGAAATGTTTTTAAGAAACTGTACCTGCCATCAAGTAACAAGAAGTGATCAGGAAGGTCGCAAACTAGGATGATACTATTGCATCTGCGTGTCTGGAAATGCTGCTATTGTGGATATCAATGGATTAGGAATTTCCCGCAATTTGTTTGTTCGGAAACCCTCGGTTGTGCATATGATATGTATGTATCTCAGATTTTTTCTTAAAGATTCAAAGATACTATCGTGCACAAATTAATTAACAAAGGATGGAAGCTTTGCATTTGTACGAAGAAACAAATGATTGGAAGTTCCACTAATGAGAAGGCGTGTTACGGATTTTTCAGTCAATCCTAAATAGTTACATGACTTTTCGCCACTTATGCGCAATTCATCTTTCTGGTAGCGTGATTTCCAGCTACATTTGCCCAGAACTCATTTACGGTTAATTGTTAGATAACGTACTAAGACATCACACTACCATGATGTCGTTGTTCACACCCAAATAATGCAAGCAAACAATACAAAAAACTCAAAACATCAAGACACGTAAACATGTGCTTAATTGGTTTATAAAAATGAAATGGACATACATGACTGTGGAGTATACCATTTCTACTAGCATAATACTGTTTTCTGTCCTCTCGAATTTTCAGTATTTTTGCTATCAAAATTTAATTTGCATCTTGTTTTTATAAAATAAAGTTTGCACCTTAAAAAAATGTATTCATTACTAGACAATTTTACTCGAACTCGTAGCCCAAAAATTCAAGGTGCTAAGCTTTTCAATCGAAGCAGTGTAATATTGAAAAATTCAACTACCTGATATTTCATGTCAGCAAAGAAGCTTTTAAGCAAATCACATTTAAAATTTGTATTCAACTGGGGTTCAAGGTGGCAGGAGACTTCATTTTGAAATTGTAATATTTCTCATTTATGACTGCTGTTCTCACGTATGTTTGGAGGTCAATTATGTCCTCAATTTGACAGTTCTGAATTTGCGATTAAAAATTATTTTAATACGAATTCAAATTAAATAACTTCGATTCTAACTCGAACTATAGCTCGAACTCTTAGTCGCATTCTCGATTGTTGACCATAGTACTCAGGAATTAGATCGTTATTTTTTGTTTAGCATAAATCGAAGTTGTAAAAAAGGTTAAATCATGGTAAATCATACTACTAACATCAGTCTAGAATATATAATCAAAACCAATGAAAATCGTCTAACTATGACGTACTTCAAACCAAGGTTTTAGTTAAGTTCATCAGTTCTGATACTCAATAACAATTATTTTGTACAGTATTTTATACGCTGAAATTAAAAAAAAAATTGATTGTTTAAGAAATACTTCATGGGGTTTGAAATTAATATATTGACTTTATCACAGGTTGTCACTTAAAACTAACTGTGTTATCACAAGAAGCAAAACTAATGAATTTTACCCAACACTGGATTAAAAGAAAGTAAATGAACACATTATTAATATTGACGTAAACGACGAATTAAACAGAATAAGTGAATGTGCTTAAACGATTAATATCAATAGATTTAGACAGGATGGACGTTGGATGTGTATCGCTTCCAAGACCTATATCGATATCCATTTCAATAATATTTTCTTGATTAGTAAATTTGAGAATGGAAATGGGGAATGTGTCAAAGACCCAACAACCCGACAAAAGTAGAAAACAGCCGAAGGCGACCAATGTGTCTTCAAAACAGCGAGACAATCCAGCACCCGAAGGCGGGCTTCAGCAGGCCTCTAAACAAACATGTGTACTACTTCAGTGAAAATGGATGTCACACTAAACTCCAAAACATATAAATGAACTAAAATTAAAAAAAAAAAAAAAACGATTAACAAAGAGTCTCCCGACTTGGGACAGGTGCAAAATCCGGTGGGGTTGTGAGATCTCAACCCTCCCCCTATACATCTAGCCAATGTCAAATAAACAAACACACAGTAATACGCACAGTAAAACGCAGTTTAAAAGAAGTCCAAGTCCGAAGTCAGAATAGGTAACAAAAGAAACTAAGCAAAATTACAATGATATATAAATCAAAAAAGGACTACTAGTGCACATATCTAATGTATCATCGTATGTTTAAGTATCCTTGTTCTGACGACTTTCTAGTTTTTGTTTACTACACAATGCTCACTTTATTACGTCAGAGTTTTGAATGTTTACGCCAAGTGGCCGCGGGTAACTCATTTATAAAAAAAACATACTCCATAGGAGGTTAATTGAAGCAGCCCAAACATGTCATTTATTTCCGATCAGCTAACTTTCAATATATTCGTACTTTACCACGTGTGTAGACAAAAAGCGTTTGAAAAACATCATATTAGAATACTGAAGTATACACTAGAGCTTGGGTAAATTTCAACCTGTCCATAATGGGAAGCCCACTCTTATCTATTACACCCATCCATAATGGGAAACCCACTCCTATCTATTACACCCATCCATAATGGGAAACCCACTCCTATCTATTACACCCACCCATAATGGGAAACCCACTTCTATCCATTGAAATTTATCAAAAGAGTCTATAAAAATATTAATTACAATGGCTTTATTATTTTCCAAGATAATGTATAATCAATTCCTAGGATCTAAAAAAGAGATGCAATTTCAGTCAAAAATAAAATGTTTGCTCACTCCTAAACTGTGAATTCTTTTTCCTTGTATTTACTTGGTTTGGCAGTTTAATTCATATACGACTAAATCAATTTTGTTTTAAACTTTCCTTTATAATAGAATAATAGAACTATAAGAATATTTGAAATTTACCTTTAGTGAAAAATGTAGAACACTCTTTTCTGTTTTCCAGTGAATGCAAGCTTAATGCTCGTGTTGAATTATTTATACTAAATGGTGTCCAATAGAAACAACGATAGCACAATTCAGCCTTAAACCACTCATTCAATGAAAAATTGTACAAATAAAAAGTGGAAAAAATCAAAAATTTAATGGATTTTAAAATATTTATCAGAATCTTTTTCATTGGTTAAATGTATCTAGTGTAAAATATTGTTTATGGTATATCAGTTATAAGGAGTATGTTTAATTTTTTGGATAAAACATAAATATTGATATCATACATTTACAACTGAAAAAGGGCCTCGGTGGCCAAGTGGTCTATGTAGTTCTACTACCTTAATCTCTAGCCAGTCAACACTGAGGTTGTGAGTTCGAACCCCGCTCGTGCGGGTGCATTCGACTCCAATCTTAATTGACTAGGATTGTCAGTTTTCCTATCGAAGGTCGGTGGTTTTCTCCGGGCACTCCGGCTTCATACACCAATAAAAGCTAGCCGCCACAAAATATCCCAAAAGTGGCGCTTAAAAGATGCGTTAAAACACCAACAATCAATCAATCAATTACAACTGAGAAAAGATGAAAATGCACTTTCCAACCAGTATAACAACTGAACATACACATCATATACAAAAGTCTATCATTTCTTGAAATATTTTTTTCTAAACCATTTCGGTGTGCCTGATGAAAGTAGTTATCAGAAAAAAATAGGAAAACCTTCTACTGATTTGTCTTTTTTCGAAATGGTCTTTTCTGTATAAAAAGTAAAATTTACACATTGTCGCACTTTGGAATGTGAATTTTAACAGGGGTTTTAAAAAGAAAAGCATGTTTACCTTTTCATACAGAAATAAGGATATGTGGTATGATTGCTAATGAGACAACTATACATCAGAGTCCAAAAAAACGTGCCAGTAAGTAACTATAGGTCACCGTGCGGTGTTAAACAATTCAAACGAGAAAAACCAACAGCCTAAGCCAATTAAGATAGATTCATGGTATACCGCCATCTTGGATTGTACAATCTCAGTACAAAAATGGCCTAGTTATTTGCCCATATCTGAAAATTTGGAGACAGATTTGCAATTTTAATGGTTAGATTGTTTATTTATATAGAGAAAACTTGATGATTTATTGTATTATTCAAAATATTTAAACAAATATCAAATTTTGTGTTTTTAGAATCATTTTTTTCAAATAAGCCATTTAAGGGGAGATAACTCTTTTAGTACAAAATATATACTGGACTGATAAGGAAATTTTTACTTGTAGAAGGAAAACAAGTTCGGAAACACCATTTTTTCTTTTTATTTTCTTAAAATATATTATAAATCCTGTCTTCTTACAATTTATTTCAAAATTCTATCTCATAGAATTTTTTTAATGCACACAAATGTGGTTTTTCATAAACAATCTAACCAAATTTAGGCAATTTTCAACGACTCATATCTTCGAAAATAGCACGGTGACCCATACTTTTAATTATATTTTTGAAAAAAGCATAGTGAAATCTTCCTTTTGGCAAATTATAAGAAAATTCTATCTCAAAAATTATATACTTATGATCTACCTTAAATCATTTACATATTAAATTATTTTACAAATCATTTATGAACCATTTCTTGCCTGACGAAAATTTGTATATGAAACAAAATAGTTGTCTCATTGGAAATCATATCACATCTCTTTATTTTTATATAGAAAACTATAAAAGGTCCCGAAATGGCAAATGTAAAACAGTTCATACGAGTAAATCAACGTCCTGTTTTACATACAAGACAAAAAACGGGGGGAAATGATATACAGCAACAAACCATAACCACTAAATTACAAGCTCTTTTCAATGCTCATGAACTTCTTACTTTTGTGCGTTTTAACTTTGTTGATTCGCGCGAGATTGGTAAGTCTTTTTAGACGAAACGCGCGCCTGGCGTACTAAATGTTAAGCCTGGACTCTTTAATTTGTTTATAAGTTTAAAAAGGATCAACTAACATAAGCATATTTATTTTAAGTAGTACTTTTTGTGTTGAATTGAATTATGTTCTTATTTTACACGACTTAACAATGAAAGAAAAGACTTTTATTAAGATTCGTCTAAACAAGTTGTGTATGCATAATAATCACTTGAATGTAAGAAACAATAACCAGAGTAAAGTAAACTTTATCGCGTTCATTACCTGTTTTTTTTTGTGCGACATGCCAAAGCCCCAACGTGGCAACGCATTAACTTTTGTATGGTGGGTCACACATTAAAAACTTTGAATATCTGTTAAATAAAAAAAAACTGTTAACCACTAAATCATAATGGCAACATATTTACATAATGTAAACAATACAAATAAAAGGAATACGAATAATCGAAATAGAAATTGAGAGCATATACAAGGAAACCGAGATTACTAGACAAAACATGTTGATATAATGGAACGACCTTTGAAATATGGAGAAGGGGGTAGGGGTTGGATCTTGATTGAGATTTTTTTTCCAGCACGATAGTTTCTTTTTAATTATTGCGAAAAACAAAGATTTATTGTGATTGACAATGCTGCATAAAATATGTCATTTTAATAAAAAAAAAACTATTGGTTGAAGATATGTAATTTTCAAGCTTTTAGTAGGTAATTGCTATGTTATGTTATATTTTTTTACACCCCTTCCCCCACCAAATATTAAGTAATCGTCTGCTGTCTTTATACAAAGGCTAACATTTTCAGTACATATTGTGTAATTTGAAATTGATAAGGTTCAATTCGAGCGTGACTGATAAGTCTTTTGTAGACGAATCGCGCGACCGGCTTACTAAATCTGAAGGCTAGTTTCTATGAATTGTATTTGTGTCAATTTATATTTTTTATTGGGGTATCAAACCATAATGTGTTAAAAGTCTATCATTATCTAAATGAACAAAATGATATTTCCTGTTGCCCTTCGAACATGCACTACATGAACAGCAGAATGATGGAAAGTCCGATATCTTGTCTTGGTTATCTTGTCATTTTTCATGTCTGGGTCGTTTATAGCCGACTAAACTGTATGGGTTGTCTTATTTTTAAAGGCCGTACGGTGAACTATTATTGCTTAGATTCACTTCATTTCATCTCTGGTGGATAGTTGTCTCATTGGCAATTGTACCGAATTTCCTTCTTTTTATTTTAGTTTCTTATTATTTTCCATATTTTGCTTACATGGACGTACTTTTTATGCAACTAATATATACAAACAGTCCGGGGTTACAGTTTTAAAACATCAATAACCGTTACAAACCTACATACAATGTTATGACACTGCCAAAAGGTGATTAATAGATAATGTCTGATGCAAATTTTGAAGAAAAAAAAAAAAACAGATAGTTTTGTCATTTTTTCCGTATTTTACTGATAAATTGATTTCGTTGCAGGCAGTTATGATAATATTTAGATACAGCCTTGAAATAGGTTCTTAGACATCTATCACATTTTTATAATATTGTTGGCTATTAATAATTGCTAGTAGAAAATAAAAACGTAAGAGTACACTGGATAATTTCTATACTATGACACTATAAAAAAACGTGTTTTTTTTGTTTTTTGTTTTTTTTGGGGGGGGGGGGGGGGGGGGGGTGTCATTTTCTCATGTGTGCAACATCACTACTTTTCGGTCACCCCTACGGCACTGATATGTTTTGCTTAGAGGAAAATGTCTTAAATCGTCTCCTGGTTGTTTACAAAAAGTTGAAATTGTTAAAATACAGCTTTATTGAGATAAAAATTCTTGATAACTTCACAAAGCCTTTTTGATGCATCAACCCTTTAGTAATTTTCCACATTTTATTTTGACTTTTGTGTTCAGTTATCTGGTGAAATGTTTGTTTTAACCCTAACACCTTTGTTTGGTAGTTTTATTTTTTGTATTTGATTGTGACCATATACCAATGCAGTAAAAGAAAATCGCTAATGAGCTTATATCAAGGTATTTTTTTTTTACTTATTTATCTATTTAATTGTGAGGAGTCCGCGACTAATTTGGTTCATCGGGAACAAACCAAATTTTCAAAGTAACAATTTCTGTCACTGGGGGAATCGTATCTATACTCCAAAGGATTTGTTCTGCGGTCAAATGTATTTAATAAGAAGTATACCGGAAATGTAGATACAATCCGGGTAAACTTATCAATCATTTAAATAAACTTATTATTAAAGGTTACCAATTTAACGCTGTAATTAAATCTTTGAATATTGTTTTTATTGGTACAAATTTTGATTTTGTTATCAGTGAATTATAACCATACTTAATATTATTGTTATACATATATGCACTTTCACGGTATAACAATATGTCGATACTTATTTTTTAGCATGGTACAATATCATGTTTTTATCTGACTGTAAATGATGTCTTTTCAGTAATTCCATTAGATGCTGGATGTTTATTGCTTGATAATTTAGTCTTGGATACACGTTTTTATATGAGTTATTGGCTTTGAACTAGCTGTCAGTAACTGCCAGTACTCTCATCTCTGTACTGTGTGTCTGTTTGTTGTTAGGGATGTATAAATGACATGCCATGTGTGATCTGTGTTTTTGTTAGATGTTTTTCTGCTTTGTATCGATCTTATGAGTTAAACCCTTTTCTACTGATTTTTATAGTTTGTTTTTATGTTGTGCTGTAACACCGATGTCCCAGGTTAGAGGGAGAATCAAGCGCTCACAAATATATTTCGCCCCTGTCACATTTTGTAGGTGCCTGTCCCAAGTCAGGAGCCTGTAGTTCAGTAGTTGTAGTTAGTTAATGTCTGTCATATTTTAATTTTCGTAAATTGTTTTGTCATAAATTAGGCCGTTAGTTTTCTCGATTGAATTGTTTCGTATATTTCATGTAAAGGCATTTTATAGCCGACTATACGATATGGGTTTTCCTCATTGTTGAACGCCGTACAGTTGCCTATGATTGTTTACATCAACTTCATTTGAACGTTGGTGGATAGCTGTCTGATTGGCAATCATACCACGTCTCTTTATTTGTATA